CATCACCCATGCGGTGGTCTCTACCTATTATTTGGCGATGAAGTTCCCCACGGACTTCGGAGTTGGGGTAGTGCGAGGCGATCAGCTCGAGTCTCGCAAGTGCTACGTCGCCGCCCTCAAAGGGAAAGCCAAGGTGGCCGATGACCTCGAGCTGGAGCGACCTGCGGAGCAATGCGAAGAGCGAGCTGCACCTACGGAAGAGACTATCTTTGTCCCAACCTCGACAGAGGACCCAGCTCGAACAATCCAGATCGGCGCTTCAGTCAAGGAGCCTCTACGATCTCAACTGGTAAGTTTTTTACTTGAAAATTTAGATGTTTTTGTGTAGTTTGTGGCAGAGATGCCCGACATAGACCCTAGCATCATAACTTACATGCTAAATACTGATCTTGTAGTTAGGCCCGTTAGACAGAAGAAACGCAACTTAGCCCAGAGCGTTGGAGAGCAGTTGACGAGGAGGTCGGGAAGCTCCTCGCAACTGACTTTATCAGAGAGGTCCATTACCCGAGCTAGGTGGTCAATCCAGTCCTGGTAAAGAAGGCCAACAGTAAATGGCGCATGTGTGTCGATTATACCGACCTAAACCGAGCTTGTCCGAAGGATTTCTTCCCACTCCCCAAGATTGACCGCCTGGTGGACTCGACCTCAGGGCATGAGTTGCTGAGTTTCTTGGATGCCTACTCGGGCTATAACCAGTTAAGAATGGACCCTACAGATGAAGAAAAAACAACTTTTATAACTGAACTAGGCATGTACTGTTACAAGGTCATGCCCTTCGGACTGAAAAATGCTGGGGCTACCTTCCAAAGACTTGTAAATAAGTTGTTCGAGCCGTTGATCGGAAAGAAAATAGAATGTTATGTAGACGACATGGTCGTCAAAACTCAGTTTTCAAATGATTTTATAAAAGATTTGCACTCTGTTTTTGAAATTTTGCGTAAGTTTAACATGAAACTAAACCCAAACAAGTGTGCCTTCGGTGTCACCTCGGGTAAATTCCTAGGGTACATCGTCAACCGGCGTGGCATTGAGGCCAACCCGGATAAAATTAAGGCTATCCTAGATATGAGACCACCCCGGAAATTGAAGAAGGTTCAGAGGTTGAATGGCCGTATAGCCGCTCTGAGCTGCTTCATGGCCAAATCGGCAGATCGCTGCCTGCTTTTCTTTAAGGCGATTAAAAGCAAAGGCTTTGAATGGTCTGATGAGTGTTAGCTCGCATTCGACGATCTCAAAAGGTACCTCACCAGTATCCTAGTCTTAACCTGACCCGAGGAGGGTGATGTTTTGGAGTTGTACCTCTCTGCAAGTGACGAGGTGGTCAGCTCGGTACTGATAAGAGAAGTAGACCGGGTCCAACGACCTATCTACTATGTTAGCAAAGTGTTGTAGTGGGCAGAGACGAGGTATCCAGAGATCGAAAAATTGGCATATGCTCTGGTTGTTGCAGCTCGGAAGCCTCGCTCGTACTTCCAAGCTCATATTGTCATCGTCCTCACCAACAAGCCTCTGAGGCAAGTCTTGCTCAAGCCTGAGGTCTCTGGTAGGTTGACAAAGTGGGCCATCGAGCTCAGCGAATATGACCTCCAGTGCAAGCCGCGAACTGCTATCAAGGCCTAAGCCTTAGCTGACTTTGTTGTGGAATGCACTTTCAGCACAGTATCCCCAGGCTGATCGAGCCCGAGGCCCCCAAGTCGGATGAGCCCGAGGTTCCCAGGCCGGTTGAGCTCGAGCACCGTGAGGTAGCAACCAGTGCGGCTTCTCTCCTAGTTAGATTGAACCCGAGCTGGGATGAGGAGCCCGGGATCCTTCACGTGGATGGCTCATCCAACCAGCAGGGCAGCGGAGCTGGAATCGTTCTGTATGGGCCAAGCGGGGTGAAACTGGAGTATGCGTTATGCTTTGAGTTCGCGGCGTCCAACAATGAAGCGGAGTACGAGGCGTTAATAGCTGGGCTGGCTCTAGCAAATGAAGTGAAAGCCAAGCACATCGTCATCTGTAGTGATTCTCAGCTCGTGGTCAACCAAGTTACAGGTGAATATGAAGCTCGCGAGCCAACCATGACCGCCTACTTAGCCAAAGTAAGAGAGGCTCTGCTCAATTTCCAGTCTCACTTCATCAAGCAAATCCCGAGATCTGAGAACGCTGAGGCTGATGCCCTGTCCCGGTTAGCCAGCACTAGTGATAATACCATGAGAACCGTGTACATAGAGAACTTGCCTTGGCCTAGCATTCTCTGGGGGGCAGGGGAGGTCGGTCCTATCGAGCTGGATCGACCCGCTCGCGAGCTTCCTGCTGCATGGGACCCTCCCTGTGGATCGTAATGCCGCCAGAAGGGTAGAGCGCTAGGCGGCCAAATACGTCATGATAGATAAACGGTTGTATCGAAGTTCTTACACGCTCCCCTATCTGCGCTACTTGCCACCTTCCGAGGTCGAGCTTGTGCTCTGCAACACTCATGAGGGCCTGTGCGGTGGAAACTTGGGGGGCAGGGCTCTCGCCCAGAAAGCGCTACGACAGGGATACTACTGGCCAACGATGAAGGCATATGTGATCGAGTTCGTCAGAAGATGCGACATGTGCCAGAAGCGTGCCAACATCCACCACCAGCCTGCCGCCGACCTGAAGTATCTCTGATAAGAACCCACTAGACGACCTGCTCTAGGAACTCTTGAATCAAGTTGTTATGCRCACCYWKRAGCTAGAAAACAAGTTGTAGTTGATCAGATTAGAACCTTAAGGAAACTAAGTCCTTAAAGAATCCAATCTTGAAGACACCACAAAGGTTGATCACTCCCTTGATAAGTCAAGATATTGTATTCTACCAAGAAAACAAGAAGGCAAAGCTAAGCTTGCTGAAAATACCTCTATATTATTGATTCATCTCGTATTACATAGTTGCAGCTTTTATATAGGCATGTAAACATCATTATCTTATAAGGAAACTCCTAATCTTATAAGAAAACTCCTAACTAATGATTATCTTATCAGGAAACACCTAACTGATGATGATCCCTTTAATTTAGGAGAAGAAATCTACTTTGAAAAAGGAATCCTTTTAAAAGATTACAACTAATGACAACTAAGCATAGAAAAGTCAAAGTAAACAAAACAAGATAAAAACAAGCCCAACATGACAAAACAAGCCCTTCAATACATCTTTGCATACGAATTGGGCCTTTTCATATCATGTCCATGCGCCAAGCCCGTCAAGCTTTGTTCTTCAAGTTCTAAGCTTTGCACATCGTCTTGCACATAAAAATATGTGATTATCCTTGGTGAAGTTTTGGGAACTGCTAGAACAGTCTTAGAATGTTCTAGAACAGCCTCTTTGTCATGTACTTCCATGATTAAGCCTTGTAAAGCCTTTTTCATCCTCTTTGTCCTTGCCCTAGTCATTGGCCCACCGATTCCTTGCAAAGGATCTTGAGAATATTTGGGATTATTAGCTTGAGCCATTTGGTCAACACCTCGATCTCCATTATTCACCAGCCCGTGGCCTTTCGCATAGTGGGGGATCGATATATTCGGACCATTTCCGCCAGTGATAGGGCAGAGGAGGTTCTTAGTGGTGGCAGTTGATTATTTCACTAAGTGGGTAGAAGCTGAACCTCTCACAACGATCACAGTGCCGAATGTGCATAACTTCTTCTGGAAGAATATAGTGTGCCGTTTCAGACTACCCCGAGTACTGATCTTTGACAATGGTAAGTAGTTCGAGGATATTAAATTCCAGAACTGGTGCAAAGATATGGGAATTCAACAAAACTTCACCTCGGTGGCGCACCCTCAGGCAAACGACCAAGCGAAGGTCACGAACAGAGTCATTCTCCGCGGACTGAAGGCACGCCTTGACCGAGCTAAGGGACTATGGGTAGACGAGCTACCCAATGTACTATGGGCTTATCGGACCACGATAAAGACCGGAACAGGTGAGACCCCCTTTAACCTCACTTATGGCACTGAAGTAGTCATCCCAGCCAAGATCGAGGTTCCCATGCTACGTCTAGAAGTGTACGATGACAAAGTAAACAAAGACGAGCTACGCACCAATCTCAACCTACTTGACGAGGTACGGGACCTCGCATACATTAGGACCGCGGCCTACCAGCAGATAGTAGCTCGGTACTATAACGCCAGGGTCAAGAAGCGGAACCTCCGCGTCGGAGACCTTGTCCTTCATAAAGTTATGGTGCTTGAGCACGGTGTTGGTAAGCTCGGGTCAAATTGAGAAGGACCCTACCGAGTAAAGCGGGTGCTCGGGGAAGGAACGTATGAGCTCGAAACCCTAGATGGGAAACAAGTACATCGGGCATGGAATATTGTCAACTTAAGGCAATACTACCTATAATCACTGAGATGAGTGGACTACAAATCGCTTTCCGAGCCTAAGGGCCAAAACGCCGAGCTAACAAAAAACCTCGGCACTGTAAGACCCAGTCGCCTCTTCGGCATGGGCGAACTCCAGAAGGGGGTGAATCGTAGTCGCTCTCAGAGCCTAAGGGCCAATACGCCGAGCTAACAAAAGACCTCGGCACTATAAGACCCAATCGCCTCTTCGGCATGGGCGAACTCTAGGAGAGTGGACTATAAGTCACTCCCCCAGCCTAAGGGCTAAAATGTCGAGCTAACGAAGACCTCGACACCGTATAAGGCCTAACCACTTCATTGACATAGGCTAAGAATTAGTACCAAAGGCGCAGGCAGCTCGGGTGTGAATCCTGTGATGCATAGCCCGCCCCGGTATACAAGTTGGACCCGTTAGGGACAACAAACTTCAACTTCAGTAACCCAGGTGTAGACAGGTCGGGCATATGCCTTACTATGTTGCTCACCTCGGTGTACATCATAAAATCACCCCTACTAAGTACAGGGAGACAGCTCGGGGTGACGATAGTCGAGAAACTCCACTTCGGGTACTTAGCTCTAATAGTTCGAGTGAAATAGTCACTTCGGCAAAAGAGTAAATTGCATAACACTTACCAAAAAAGAGAGGAACATTTCATTACTAGTTCTTATAAAAAAACCGGGCCTAACAGCCCGGGAGAGTACATCTAGGCAAAAAGAGAGAGAACCGGGCTCAGCCACCTGGAAACAACCACTTCAAAAGATTCATTTAGAAGAAGAAAAAAGAGCAACCAGCCTCAAGGTCCCACCACCTCTACGTCCTCGTCGCTCTCCTCCAGGGAGTCGGGCTTCTCTTCCTCCGTAGTGTCCGCCGTCTCCGGGGCCATGTCCTTTATTGTCATGCCTTCAAGGTTAAGGACAGAGAACTTCTTCTGAACCAGCCATCGGCAAAGCTTGAACCCCGAGCAGTAGGACTTAGAGCCGTACTCGACCTGGAGGTCATGGAACTGCTAGGACTCTTTAAAGTCCTCCACCGCCTTAGCCCGCTCTTCCTCCACTGCGGCGTCGAAGTTTCGGGTCCGCTCGTGGAGCGTGGACTCCAAGCTCTGGACCTGCTGACGAAGAAGCTCCCTCTCTACCGTCACCCTCGAAGACTCCTCCCTGTAACGGGCGCTCTCCTTAGATAATCGGGAGATCCGCGCTTCCTGGTCCTTAATGAGTAGCTCCTGGGCCTCGCTCCCCTTCTGAGCCTGGAGGACCTCACCCTGGGCCTGGTCGAGCTCGTGTTAGAGCCTCTGCACTTTCGACCTCTGTTTGGTGGCATCCTGGGAGTGAATAGCAGCCTGACAGGCCATGGCGTGGATGGCGGAGTTTAGCTGCCAATAGAAAGCCGAGGTAAGTAAAAAAAATAGAAAGGGGGGAGAAAAAGGGAAGAAGTAGACACTTACCACCATGCAGTGAGCTGAGGCCAGCTTGGAGAGCTGCCTAGGGTGCATCCCGGCCCAGTCCGCGATCTCCTCATGACTGATCGCCTGCCGGCTCCTCCGCGAGGCCACGAGGAAGTTGGTGATGCTTCATCCCTCCCCTCGGTAGGAAACCGCGGGAAGACGATGGGGCCGGACTGCGCGGCCGGAGGGTACTGCTCCTGGGGTGGGACCTCTTCTTCTTTGCCGCCTCTCGCGGCTACTCCCTCGAACGACACAGGTGGGACCTCCGGCGGCGGAACAAAGGCTGGGTCTGCAGCCTCAAACTCGGCGGCCTCAGAAGTGGACGCTTGGTTGGGGCGCAACCTCTTCGCCCTACGCTTTTGGTTACTCGACAACAGGTGATGTGCATCCTCACCAGACATGTTGGCTGCAAGAATTACAAGGCATTAGTATAGCTCAAAAAAAAAAAAAAAAAAAGAGAAGGCGTCCTAAAGGTAACCTACCGGGGCTCAGGCCGGCCTGCACGAGATTGTCCTCAGCCAAGTCATCCGAACAGAGAAAGCCGACCCCTGCCCAGGGCTGCAGTGTTTCCCGAACCTTCAGGTCCAAGTCAACGCCCGGATCCTGAATGGCGGCCCTCCGGTGGGTCGGAAAGGGCCACCCCTTGGGGTTGCGAACTACAAAATAACCTCGCTTCCAGGCTGGGATCCTGTTAGGCAGCTCGTGGAGGAGCTTAAAGCCCGGACGGGGGGAAAAGTAATAAGAGCGCCTTTCTAGAGGGGCTCCGGGGTAGGCATTCTTGATCAACAGTATAGAAGCAAAGGTGTCGAGGGAAAGAGGAAGACAATACTCAAAGAACAGGGAAATAGTCCCCACCAAGTTCCAAACAGAGTTCGGGTGGTCTATGGTGACATTGAAGTGGGAAAGAACCTCCACTATCAGAGGGTGTAGAGGGAGTCGGAGACCAGCCACGAGTTGCTCTTCAAAAATCACGATCTCGTCGTGATCGTGTTCCCAGGGATAGTTGTCGGATGGGAGACTGTAAATAAGATCCCTGGGGAGGTTGTAATGAAAGACTAGGGCCTGAAGTCTCTCCATAGACATGGAGGAAGGGCCGAAGCTATCCGGCTCCCGACCCCGGGAAGTGGAAGCCAAGTTACCGGAGGCTTCCCAAGCCTCCAAAGACCGCCCTTCGGGGAAACCCCAAGCTCCCCCCGAGCTCGAGGGGACCTCACCCTGGTTACCGTCCCACGGGTACCCAGACATTATTGGACAAGACAGAGGACTCACCAGAAAAAAATGAAATGAGAAAGCGACGCGAACAAGGAGAGCTAGAGCAAACAAGGCGAATGCGCAACCTCAAAACCGAAAGCAAGGCAAGTTGGCGTACAAAAATGAGGCTTGGGGCCCTCCTATTTATAGCCACTGTGCTCGAAAGCCAACGGCTCCGATTGAAGCGAATCCAACGGCTCGCAATAAAGATGGCCGCACGTCTTCCGAAACCGAAGGCAGTTTGGCGCGTTTTTTGGTGCCCGAAAAACCTGAAAGCCACATGCGGTCAGTCAGAGTAATTTGAACAGCGAGTCAAATCCACCCGTCATTTCGTGAACTCCCCGCGCTAGAGCAAGACCCTTAGCCCGAGGAGTGGGGGGCAATTGATGGGGGTGATTTGACTCGACCTCCTAACCAGGTGACACGTGGACATGACTCGACGTAAGCGACAGCTTAGCATGACAGCTTGGCTACAACTCGGCGTAATGAGCCCGCTGAAACCCAACCTGAACAGCTCGCCACAAGACAACTCGCTACAGAACGGTTTGCTGCAAGGCAGTTCGCTACAAAGGAGCTCGCTATTGAGTAACCCAGAGTCTTTGGGAAACTTCTTATCCGACAAGACCATGCCTGTCAGACTGCTCCCACATCTCTTGTCTGGCGGCGCAGCACCTACCAGTCCAGAGGACTGCGCCCACGTCTCACGTCAAGCGGCGTCGTGCACGCCAGCTCTGCATAACGTCTCTCAACTGACAGGACCGTACTCTGCGACGGTTACCTGCACCAATTGAATCAGCCTGGCGAATAACGACTGTAGTAGAGAATCAGAGGCGGTTACACTCGATTTGACAGAGCATCAGTATATAAAGGCCCCGATTTCCAAGGGGCAAGAAAATAATTTTTTTGAGTAAGTGCACATCTCCACTCTTAGCTCATTTTCTGTTACAACTCTCTAGGCTCTCCACGGAGTTCTAACTTAAGCATCAGAGTGTTCCCGTCGGGCGAGCTCCCCAGGAATCCTTCATCTTCTTCTCCTTCTCAGGTGTCGTCCGTCACCAGATAGGAACGAGGTCCCTGCCAACTAGGAGTGACCAGATCGCGCTACATCAATTCCCATGGAGAATACCATTCCCATTCCCATTCTAAAGGATTTTGGTTGTTATTCTTATTAACCATGTGAAATCTGTTGCAAGGGTAATTACACGACAAATTGGATGTTCTCAGAAGAGGAGTTTTGGTAATTTTGGACCAGTGAATTAATTGCTGGTTTGGAACCACCGACACTGCCAACCACAAAAGTAGGATTTTTGGATTTAGGATTTCTCACCCCTTCATCCGGATTGGAAACACGAATAAAGCCACGGACCAAACGCATTAATACAGAAGGAAATCTGATTTCTGGTTTTGTTTTCATAGAAATGAAGAGTTCAGTTAAAAAAAAAAAAAAGAAAAAGAAAGAAAGAAAGAAAACACAGGGCAGATTATATGCAAACACGCCTCTTTCTTTTCGTAATTGGCATTAGGCCCGAGCTTTGTTTTTGTTTGTAGCCTGAAGGAGCTTCTGAGCGTGGGAGAGCTGGTCCATGAGAGACATGATCTGGGCTTGGTAGGCGCGAGCTTGGTCGAGGGCCTCAGCTTCGAGCTCTCCCAGCTGGAAGCAGAGCCTCTCCTCCGCCTCTTCCACGGATCTGAGTCTCTCTGACGTTCTCAGCAGCTCCTCCCTCATCTTCGCCTCCCTCTTCAGGCTGTTCTTCAGTTCCCTCTCCATCTCTTCATATCTCCTCCTGAACGCCTCTTCCATCTCCTTGAAATAGTCTCCCTTGGCCTGATGCGGCGGCGGAGGAGCGGCGACGGCAGCCAGACTGGGGGCCATTGCCAGTGCCAGAGGATCTCCTCCGGAGAAACAGGGGAAATCGGTAGAAGCAGTTGTACCAAAATGACGAGAGAGTGGTTTCCTTTTATAAGCTCAAATAGAGATGTCCAGGTTCAATGTATCTTATGATACTTGGGGCAATAATGCTGGTTGGCACAGTATACGGCTTGTGAGGTTTTCTAAGGAGCGTTCAAAGACAACCAGTTTACGTATATCCTTGATTGGTGACCTTTATCCTCATGGTGGGACCCACGGAAAGATGTAATGCAAAGACCAAATTAACTACGTGTTGCGCACTAACTACGCAAAGATATCAAGATATTAATAGATTCGTTGCTTAGTATCGGACTTCAACTACATCCACTGGACAAATTTCTTTCGTGTGGAAGTAGGCAAGTAGCCAGACTATCACCGTGACGATAACTCTGTTTTTTTTTTTTTTTTTTTTTTTGGGTAAATAGATATTGAGTACTTTGTCTGTTTAGATTTTTTTTTGAAAATTATCGATTAGTAACTTGTAATTTACTTTAGATGCAATAATTTAGTATCCAAACTTTTAAAATGTAATTCAATAATTGTCATAACTAACTGTTAATCTATCGTTAAGTGGCATTTGAAAAAGATATAAATGCCCTTCAAGTGTTATCTAATTTTCTTTATCAACCATCCAAACGTTGATAAAAAATTAATAATTTCAAATCTTTGCTTTTTCCCATTCAAGAAAGTTTGTATTATGGTGACCCCAACTTTCTTGAATAGAAGAGACAAGGATTTGAGATTGTTAATTTTTTGTCAATGTTTAGATATTGGGTATTTGTGTCTTTTTCAAATGCCACTTAACGGCTGATGGGTTGTCATGTTTTGAAAGTTTGGATACTGAATTATCGCTTTTTAAACTTTGAGAGATCAAAGTGACTCTAAACCCAAAATATAGGGTATTAATTGGAAAATTTTCCTAAATTTTATTTCGCTTTTTTTTTTTCATATGTAACCATATTTTTACTTCTTTCCGATAAATAATAAAAGTATTTGAATGGAATAACGAATAATAGTGAAAAAAGAAAAATTTGAATATAGGCATTTTTATAATTTTATACCCAATGTAATGTTAGTTTTAACAGAGTTGGAACGAAGTGTATATTTATAAAAGATCATGATACTAAATGTTGCACTTAAAAGTTCGGCCTTTTTAAGTGTCATTATCTCATTTAGACAGAGCACTTATATGTAATATATTCTTTATTTTTTGGGTTATATAGCTTGGGTTAATTACTTGAATCCTAAGCGGTTTTTGAAAACTGTCCATCTTTAAATAAAATAGTGTGAATCCACATAAGCCACCGCATGGCACAAGAGGGTTAACCCCACATTCTGAACAATAGTTCTACCGGGTTTCTAGTTTTCTGTTATTCACCTATTAATCACTATTACGTTTATCATTACTTGTCAATAATTTAAGGGAAAATGATGGTTTATAGGCCTAGAGTACATTTGGGGTAGGTGTCAATTCGGAATTGATGCCAATTCATGGGTGGGCATTGATGCATAAGGTGGGGGTAATTGACCTTTCAAAATGTTGTAGATTTGCAGTGGAAATCAGACGAAATAGATGGAGGATTCATAGTGATTAGTCATAGCTACTCCACCATCCAATGAGAGAGATAGAGAGAGATTTACTGATGAAGTTTTATGGTTTTATTTTTCTATTTTTTTGTGTTTTTTCTGTATTTTATAAAATTTTTCTATATTTTATTTTTATATTTTTTATGTATTTCGTATTATATTATTTTTTATTTAGATAGTTTTATTTTTTTATATTTTACTGTATTTTTCTGTTTTTTATTTAATTTTATACTATTTTTTATTATTTATAAATATATTTTTTATTTTTAATTTATTTATGATGCCACAGGTCAAACCGATCGACCCGAATGGTTGAACTGCTTAACCGGAAATCAGCCCTCTGACCGACTCTATTTCTGATTCATTTTTAAAAAGCTTGTTACATAGTGTCATTGACCAGCTCAACAATAACCCAAACAATGACCATAACACAATTACACTATTGCAAATCCAAAATGTGTTGAAAGAGACTCAGCCATGATTCGCCCTGGAAAGAACGTATACAGCGCAGTTGCTCAGTAGTCAAATTACAACAAACCAACGCCCTCGCAAAGGAGACAACAAATCATCGCTGAGGCACAAGAAGGAAGTTTCAAAAGTCAGCAAACCTATAGTTCAATACATTGGGATTAGGATGAATTATAACTAAGGCATTGTAAGAAGTTGTAGAAGCAGGATAGCAGTTGAAATCGTGCTTCTGTGCGAATCTCGGGGAAAGGGAACCTTGATCTTGGAATCTCCACAATGACATGAGGTAAAACCCTATTTGCGAACCTTATGAATGTATAAATCTATATTATACAAATGGATTATCCCTTGGGGAAAAAATCGTTCAGGGCCATTTCACACCTATTAAATATTTTCATAACTTAGTTTTACCTTTCCTTTTCTTTTAGCTTTATTTTTTGGGACAAAATATGTCCTTTTTCGTTGTGTTATGTACGGTATAAATGCAGACAAAATAATATAAAATATAAGGTTTTATACTTTATAAATTTGTATTTGTATTTCTACCAAATTGAGAGCACAAATACAAATATATATGGTGCAAATACATAAAAAATAATACAAAATATAAAGTTTTGCACTCTATTGAATTTGCACTCCTTCCAAGCTAAGCCTATGAGTTGAAGGGTTGGGACTTGGGAGTAAGACGACTTTATGTAAGCGATACATTCAATGTTCAGAAACGATTTTAGACGTCAACTTTCAAAACAAAAGAATGAACTTAAGGGTGTCAATGGACCGGTTTTGGATTGGATGGCGGATTGGATTTGACCCCAATCTTGTCCAAAATATTTATTAGAAAGGATTGGGCCTGGTCTGTCCATAGTAAATTTATATTGGATTGGGTTGGATTAAGTTAATATCTAGTCCATTGATATAATATAAGAATATAGGTGTTCATGGACCAGATTTAAATTGAAACCAATCTAAATCAAAATAAATTTAAACAGATTGAATGGTCCAAACATTGAATTGGACTGGTCCAATATGGTCCTAAATATTCACTGGACTGTATTGGACCTAATCCATTTATAATAGACTCACATTAGATTGAATCGGATTGGACCAAATCCAATCCAATTGACACCCCTAGATGGACTCGCTTATTGTTTGGATACTGTTGACGTTTGCAATTGGTGGTAAATTGAAGACGGAGGCTTACTGCTATTCAGTCTCGCTTCTAAGAACTAGTTTTCTTAATGTTAAGCCACACAACACAAGAAGCAATTGATATTTTTTTTTGAAGGCAGAAGCAATTGAGGTTAGGTTAGCACAAGAAGCAATTAATTAATACAGAATATTAAATTTCCTAAAAAAATAAAAAGTAGTTATATACCCCTTTTACTTGCGAGACTTTGATTGAGCTCCTCACACAATACGTTTTACACCAATCTTACATGATGTGATGCATTGAGGTAATTTTTGAAAGTATAGGATATATTCAAGTAATAAATCCTTTTTCTTAAGATTTAAACCTCCCTTCACGTTTTTAGTCCCTGTCGTGTGATTTTCATCGGACAAAGACGTTTCCACAGTTAGAATCCGTCAAGATCCCTTTTAATGTGATATCAAATATCATGTGCAGGTAAAATTTTTAGAAAATTCAATTTTGCCCCACCTGAAACCCAGACCCCCCACACGTAATCCAACAGTCTCATGGTCATGGCACTTCGCCTCTTGTCTTTCTTTGTCTTTGATTTGAAGGAAAAAGTAGGAAAATTTTTACGATGGTGTTTGGAAGTGGACATTTTTTGAGACCGATTTTTAAGAAAAAATGCCCATACTTCTAAGACTCGTGTTTTACAAAAAAATGATTTTGTTTGAGAGTGTTTCTGCTATGTAGGGAGTGAACAATACTATGCTGTTTGGTAAGATGATTTTCATCACTGTTTTTCATGTATGTACTGACAGATAAGCATCACATAGGATACGCATAATCGTCAATCAGTCAACCGTTAGGAGCAACGGTTCACCAATGCATGAAACATTGTGTTTATTCAAAAAGCGTGTGAACGAAACAATCATATATATGGGTATTTATTGAAACGTTCATATGAATCCGACGTAACACCGTTTTTTAGAAAAACAGCCACAGTTACAAACATCCCCTACAAATCTTGTATAGATTTCCTATTGAATTGCAACCGAAGCTTTGAATTGCAAACCAAAGCTTTGAACGAAAGGTTCAGTATATACCGTCCATCATAATTAACCTCTCAGTTACGCTTTGCTTTGACGAAGTGTTTGAGTCCATAGGGATTGGTTTTTAAATTTTTACTTGTTCATTGTGGTTTTTGTGCAGTCCTTCTATTTAAATAAAATATTGGATTAATTAGTGACTGTAATTTCTCACGTTTCACTACTATATATTGAACATAAATCTGTTCTCAGTTTCAGCTAAAACTCAATTATAGGATATTCGACATGTGTAGCTTTCAAAGATAAGTTGATAATGAAGGTATGATTTTCGAACCATTTTTGATCCAGAGGTCGGACCGTTCAGCCCAAAAATTGTTCAGGCAATATTTTTTATTTCACCCCTAATCCGGTTCTTTACCAAAAACTATTAATTTGATCAGCAACCCACTGAAATGGGCAATCAAATTGTCAATCCGTTAAACTCGAACAATAGTCTTAAATTGCAAAGGGAGCATAATAGCTCGCTTCAATCTAGCAAGAGTTTTTTTCCCTCTTCTCATAATTTTGGTGATTTTTCTTAAAATAATAAAGGGTAAAAATGTCTTTTCATTAATACTGTTCAGGCTAACGGCCTATTTTTCTAATTAAGTCTATTGGAAATTGGAAAGCAAAGGGGAGACGTAAGCCTTTCACCCATTCTTTTTAGTTTTTTTTTTTTTTTTTTTTGTGGTTGTCTGGTTGATTGACTTGGTACGTAGACATCCATTAAGAATAAACAAATGCTTAATTGAGGCAAGTGGTC